CCATATGATGTCAAAACAATTTGTCTACCACCATACAGTATGGGGTACATAGAAGGATCTACTGAGTCCAGTGATGATGCACCAACCGACACAAAACCAAAGTCTTCGTTAGAAGGATTCACTGCCAAATGTGGCATTTTGCCAAAAGAAACTGCTGGGCATACAGGGTTTCTAACTTTTGCTTCACTTTACACTGAATGATATTGTATGCATCACAAACAAGAGCTAACATTGGATTATTTTTTTTATCATCAGCAAAACTGACCAATGTGAAAAGGGGTAGTACTGTAGAATACTTTATTTTCGCTTGGAATTTATTTTCGCTATTTTCGCTGAAGGGATGATTCCGTGAAAATAAAATCCAGCGAATATACTTTTTCCCCATATTTCACATTAAACTCATCAAAAATCAGTGAAAATAAATTCCATACAAAATTCCCAAAAAGCCTTTTCAGCGAAAATTAATTCCAGTGAAAATAAAGTATTCCACAGTATATCACTCTGAAATCTTGTACAAACAATGTACAATATTCACTTTTCACAATTTACTTTTCTGTTTGTGTATGAATCATTAAATAAAATATTCTACCACCCGTATTCCTGATCTAGAATTTTTCAGTAGTCTTACAAGACGTAGTGTTAAGCAACTACACATTTCTAGCAGAATTGAGAAACTACATTGAACAGTTGAGAGTACAAACCTCCAAAACCACTGCCTTCAAATTTATCTTATCAGTACTTGTTATGAGATCAGAAAAAAAGGTTCTGTTGTTGTTTTATGTTTTAGAAAGAATTACACTTAGATAGAACCATCTGTGCAACATTATTTGAATTATTGAATTTGAAAAAAATCACAATTTCAATCATTCGACTCGTATTCATAATTTAATTGAATTCTCTGATTTGATCTGCTCCGAAAGTTTTCAAGAAATGTTAACACATTGTTGAGTTCAATAACTAAATCAGTGATTTAAGTATAATAAAAACTTGTTAGTGTATGAATATATTGTATACATATGAATTGAGTATTTATGAATTCTGAAACAAAACAGTGTGCATAACAGCATGTCCATTACCTTCCTTAATTCATGCACTGTGGGAAATCTGAAAACTCAGTCTGATGATCGAAAAGGAAGGAATTACAGGTTCTTTCCAACTTGAGGACACCACAATACATCTTCCATGCCTTGTAAGGTTCTACACAGCAAATTCTCAGTATCTCAAATATGAATGCATATGCTTTTGGAGTGTCATGCATTAAAACATCGCATATGTTGACAGCGAAGATCAAACTTAAATTATAAATTGTAATTGTCATATTTCAATATACAGCGAGTAGACAGAATGTGGCGGCTTATAAGCATAATAAATTATGAATACACAATTTACAACAGTATGTTCAGTTCTGCAAAACTTACATAATTAATAATTATAATACATGATCAAAATTAAAAACATAATTCTGTTGAATTTATTAAACCAAAAAAGCATTGTAACAAGCAGCCTGTCGGCTGAGATAGCTCCGTTGTTAGCAATGCATATGGCAATTAAAGAACAGAAGATATCATTAGAAAATGAACAAATCTGAGAGAGGTCCACATGTAGTACCTATATGTATAATATATCAAAGCAATTGGACTTGTGGTTTTCAACAAGAAGTCGAAAATATCACTTTTTACCAAAAATGACAAAAATATTCACCAAAATTAGAAAATTGAGGATATCATTACAGAATGAACAAATCTGAGAGAGGTCCACATGTAGTACCTATATATGTAATATCAAAGCAATTGGACTTGCGGTTTTCAACAAGAAGTCGAAAATATCACTTTTTACCAAAAATTACAAAAATATTCACCAAAATTAGAGAATTGAATATATCATTATGAAATTAACAAATCTGAGAGAGGTCCACATGTAGTACCTATATATGTAATATCAAAGCAATTGGACTTGCGGTTTTCAACAAGAAGTTGAAAATATCACTTTTTACCAAAAATGACAAAAATATTCACCAAAATTAGAGAATTAAAGATATCATTA